CAAGGACCTAAATGGCACAATGCACTCAACTAGCTGAGAATCCACATTCTTTGCAAACACACACAGAAAATTTTCCAAAAACCCGACCATTTCCAAGACTCAACAGACCTCCAAGGATGGAATAGCTTGTGTTCTTTCACCACGATAAAATCAAACTAGATATTAATGACAACTTAATTTTTTCATAACTAGAAAAGCCTTCATGTTTGGAAAAAAAAAAAATGTTAAATATATCTCACCTCTATAAAAGCCCAGAAACCAGATTCCAAATGGTCTCTTTGGTGCCCAGGAGTTTTCTGCACCTGGGAACAATGCACTGAGCTAAGACCCCAAGCTGGTTCAAGGGGTGCCTCCAAGCAGAAGGGCAACTGTGAACAGGGAGATGAGAAAGGAACACCTACTCTCCTGCCCCTGGTATGGTTCATAGGGAGAGGAGTTTCTGGAAAGGGTACACAAAGAAGCTGAAACCTGGAAACTGATTCCTACAGGACAATCCAGGCCTTAGAAAGTCTCTGCGTACGGCAGATTGAAGACTGCAGATCAGTGGAGGGAAATACCAAGATAGAGACAATATAAATCCTCTGAAGGATTTTAAGCAGGTGCAGGTGAGGTACCAGCTGGAACGGATTTAGAAGCTGCTTTGGAGACAGAACGTGACACGGCCATGGTTTTCCACCCTCGCTGCAAAGCTGAGCCAACTGGGGAGCTCAGCAATCTTAACGCCCTGGCCCTCCCTGGGGCCAACTAAATCAGAATCACCTGGCAATCACAGAGCATTTTTACAGTTCGTGGTTTCCATGTCTTTGCATGGAAAGGCAGAGCTAATCAAATAGCTTATACATCATGACACATGTTGATGAAAGATCACCACATGATTTGGGGTTTGTAAACCTAAAGAAGTTTAAAATATTGAGTAACTCTGCTATAACAAAACTCCCTGCATCTCCATTACTATCTAAGTGAACACAAATTCTGAGCATTCACATCTATAAAAACAAAAAGCAGAAGTGGTGCTGAGAGGGGTGCCTGGGTGGCTCAGTCGTTAAGCGTCTGCCTTCGGCTCAGGTCATGATCCCAGAGTCCTGGGATCGAGCCCCGCATCGGGCTCCCCGCTCCGCGGGAAGCCTGCTTCTCCCTCTCCCACTCCCCCTGCTTGTGTTCCCTTTCTCGCTGTGTCTCTCTCTGTCAAATAAATAAAATCTTTAAAAAAAAAAAAAAAAAAAAAAGAAGTGGTGCTGAGGCCTGTCTTATTCTGACAATAATATCCATCCAGACAGGGATGGAGGGACAACAGTTTAGTGGGATGCATTCAATAAATTTTTACTTTTAAAATAATTATCAAAAAATTGTGTAATGCATTTATTTTTACCAACTGTGTATTAAAAATTATATTACCCCCAAAATATTAAAACTTAGTTTCAAGGTCCCAAAAAAGTTAAAAGGTTTAAATTATTACATTTTTTTAGTTGCAGAGGAATGGGACAAGTTATTCAGTAAGAGATTTTCAAGCACTAAATACACTGCATAGAACAAAATTCTGGGTGGGATGAAATGAAAATACAAATTCAAAAAAAAAAAAAACCTGATGTATAATTTGGGCTGATTCAGTGTTTAAAACATACAGTGGATAGCAAATTGAAATATTTAGATTCCACTGAATACACTTAAGAGTACTGAACAGTTTCATTTTTTTTAATTTTTTTAAAAAGATTTTGACAGAGAGAGGCACAGCGAAAGAGGGAACACAAGTAGGCGGAGTGGAAGAGGGAGAAGCAGACTCCCCGCTGAGCAAGGAGCCTGATGTGGGGCTGATCCCAAGACTCCCGGATCATGACCTGAGCCGAAGGCAGACACCCAACGACTGAGCCACCCAGGCGCCCCTGAACAATTCATTTTAAGATTTAGGGGCGCCTGGGTGGCTCCGTCAGTTGAGCGTCTGACTCTTGATTTCGGCTCTCAGCCCAGGTCATGATCTCGAGGTCTCACTCCCCCGCTCAGTTCTCAGTTTGCTCAGCTCGGAGTCCGAGGAAGATTCTCCCCTCCCCCTCTGCCCCTCCCCCCACCGGGGTGCATGCGCTCTCCTTCAATACAGTTACGTACACAAAATCTTAAAAAAAATAATAAAATGGGGGCGCCTGGGTGGCTCAGGCGTTAAGCGTCTGCCTTCGGCTCAGGTCATCATCCCAGCCTCCTCGGATTGAGCCCCGCATCGGGCTTCCTGCTAGGCAGGAAGCCTGCTTCTCCCTCTCCCACTCCCCCTGTTTGTGTTCCCTCTCTCGCTGTGTCTCTGTCAAATAAATAAAATCTTAAATAAATAAACAAACAAATAAAATGGCAATATTTAAAATATGCTGGAAACTACATCCTTTACAAATACTTAAACTTAAGAAAAGCAATTCTGGATACCAACTTTTAAAAAGTGCAAGAGGGTATGTACTTTCAGACAGTACATCAGCCAAAAAAGCTTAAATTCCACCCTGCAGCCTCCACACAAGGCTCAAGGTGGGGCCCAATCAGCCCCATGGGCTTCCCTCTGTCCTGTGCTCCAGCCACTGGACTCTTGGGAGTTCCAGTCACCTTGGGGCCACTCCTTGGTCTGAACCATTCTACCCCAAAACAGCAGAAGCTATGTCTTCTCTGCTTGGACAATAGCAGGTGCTTAGGAGTATCTGCTAATTCAGTGCCCCTCCCAGAAGTGAGGACAAAGAAAAGTTCAGAAAGCACCTCTCCAGTCAAGTAAAGGAAGAGATGGTTCTTGGGAAACAATAAGCAGAAAATTCTAAGAGTTCCAAGCAATTTCTTTCAAGAATTACAGGAAACACGCCAACCCTTTCAAGAATATCTGCCGGGCCAAATAGGAAAATCCCCAGAAGTGAATGGAGATGTGGGGAAAGGAAGAGAATTAGAGTCCAGACTGAAAATGTGATGAAGGTTAAGTGCAGAATTCTCTCAGCCTTGTGACATCACCACACCACTGACAATGCCAACCAACAGTTACCCACAACCATAATTAAGTTACTTGTAACTGAACGAATTTCTAAAAGTTCCAGAACTATTTGTACCTTACTTAAAAAATTAAAAAATTAATGACATATTGAACTCACTTCCATAAAAAATGTAATCCTACATTATAATTTTTAAAAATTATCTGAAAGCCCCAGACAGAATAACGTGACAGTATGTGACGCGGGGGAGAGAAAGTAGTTAATGAAATACTGAGTGGGTGGCACTCAAGCTGAGATATACCAGATGAGAAAGAAGCAAGCAGGCATGAAGAGCCAGGAGGCAGTGTCCCAGAGAGAGGGAACAACAAGTACAAAGGTCCTGAGGCAAGAAGGCAGCCAGAGAGGCTGGAACAAAATAACCAGTATAAATGGAGATGCCAAGCACCAGGAGCCAGACTGTGTAGACATAATGCTTGTTTATCCTCTTCGCAGGAGACCCCAGGCTCTGAGGATAAGAGTGAAAGCTAAAGAAAGTAACCCAGAAGCCCCTAGCAGAAAGGAGGAGGAGCAGAAGGGACAGGCAGCTGAGGCAACACAAGGACAGTGTGGGCTCCCAGAACTAAATGGGGAAGCCATCCAGAATGGACCAAAGAACAGGGTGATGGAGAAAAGTAGGACAATGGTCAACAGCTTAGGCCTACGGGAATAACTAGAATCAGGCAGGTTGAGGTAGGAGCAGCTTCCTACCTGTGACCCAGCCCCAAATTAGTCCCCTTTCCTAACCTAGACTTTCTCAGTGTAGAGTCTGTGTAGCAACTTATCTTGGCCACTGGTCATGTATGACATGCCACTGACACTTGAGGTTCCCTAACCTCTGGAGTAAAGATCACAAAAATTAAAACTGCCCACAAGTCCAGCTCCTCTATACCACTGATGACAAGACCCTCCGTGAAGCACTGAGGAAGTGGACTAAGTCTGCAAGTATTTCTTTTTTTTTTTTCCTAAAAATTTTATTTATTTATTTGACAGAGAGACACAGCGAGAGAGGGAACACAAGCAGGGGGAGTGGGAGAGGGAGAAGCAGGCTTCCCGCAGAGCAGGGAGCCCAACGCAGGGCTCCATCCCAGGACCCTGGGATCATGACCCGAGCCGAAGGTAGACGCCCAACGACTGAGCCACCCAGGCGCCCCCTCTGCAAGTATTTCTAAGGGATTCTTCCACTGTCCAGAGGGAGGGAAGGGGTCATGTGTAGCAAGTGAATTGCTGGGCTTAGGTATCAGACAGATCAGAATTTATTTTTTTTTATTTTTTTATTTTTTTTAAAGATTTTATTTATTTGACAGAGAGAGACACAGCGAGAGAGGAAACACAAGCAGGGGGAGTGGGAGAGGGAGAAGCAGGCTTCCCACTGAGCAGGGAGCCCGATGCGGGGCTCGATCCCAGGACCCCGGGACCATGACCTGAGCCGAAGGCAGACGCTTAACGACTGAGCCACCCAGGCGCCCCAGAGACAGATCAGAATTTAAATACTGATTATACCATTCACTGTGTTAGCTCTGCATAAAGCCATGACAGTCATCAACTTCAAACAGCCTGTTTGAGAATTAAATGCAGTAAGGCATTTTAAGTTCAGTGCCTAACACACACAAAATACCCAATAAAGATTCCATCTGTCCCATTTATCCCACTATTGACAGAGTTGAATTCAGACAGCCTGAGAGCTCCAATGCTTAGTAGCTATGCGACTTTGAGTAAGGCACTTTCAACTGAGCTTTAGCTTTGTCAGTAAAATGGAGATAACATCACTTACTTCACATGGCTTTCAAAGAAACTAAATGAGAAAGGTGTGAAGTGTCAGGCACAGCTCCTGACACACAGTAACTTCAGTAATCATTCCTGGTAACTTCAATAGTCACTGGTGAGTGCTACCAAGATGAGGAAACCTTGGGTGGTGGGGGGCGCAAGCCTTCAAACCAAGCGCAGGTCTGTGGTGCTGCGGAGACTGGGAGTAGTGGCTTACTTAAGGGTATACCTAGCGTCCTGGGAGCCACTCACCTGGTGGTTCCAGATAGAGCCCTCTTTGCTGCGCTCATCAGGGGTCAAACGCACGTACTGGCTCGTGAGTATAGTGCTGCCTTGGAAGTCCCAGAGGGGCATGGAGCTGGAACCGACCCCTGTGGGCAGAGATGGGCGTAGACAGATGCGTAAGAGGCCATGCCAGGACTGGCCTTGCCAGAGGCAGGAAACCCACAAAGCTGCTTTGCTCGGGAGAAAGGAAACCCCTTCACCCAACCCTGTCCAGCCTCGCCCTCACCCTGCACTCATTCCCGCCCCAGGCCTCACCTTGGTAAGGCTTGATAAGCGAATGCTCCCGCTTGAGGTGTTCACTGTTGCCGTCAGTTATATCCGCAACAACCGGCCCCAGCAACAGGAGAAGAAGTAGAGGTGCAGTGGGGCCAGGGCCGGGGCCGGGAAGCCCAGGCCTCCCCGGGCACCGCCGGCCCCAGCCCCAGCGCCAAATCCAGCCTTCGGCCGCCATTCTCCGTTCCTCTCGGCCACTTCCGCCCTAGGACTTCGGCCTTCCGGGTGTCCCATCTAATGTCCTCCGGCCGGAAACCCTTCAACCCAGTGTCACCGGGAAGTTAAAAAAGCAGAGCCTCGCAGCCGAAAGGAAGGCGGCTTTATTTACTGAGTGAGCAGCCCTCCAGCCTGGTCAAGTGCTGTTCCATCTCCTTGGCGGCTTCGAGGAAACTGTCGGCCTGCCTCAGCAAGGGGTTCCTAGGAGCGACAAGAGCCGCAACCAATCATGGAACAGCACGTTAGGCTTGTGAGCCAATGAGGAACAGAAGGGTAGTTTGATTCAGGGCAGCACGAAGGTCGTGTGCGTAGCTAGGCATGCTGGAACTCGTAGTTTTTGCGGGCCTTCCGCGCGGGCTGGACAGACGAAGACTATAACGACCTCGGCCACCGGCCGGTGATCGCGTCTCTGGAGTAACGTTTCCCAGTCCTGAGGGGAAAGAATTCAGAATGGAAGGAGGAGGCCTGAATTCCAACTCCCTCGCCCCTCGCTCTCACTGGGTGGCTCTGGCTAGCCTCTCTTTCGCCTCTCTGGTCCCACCCCTCTCCTAGCGTCACGCCTTTGGAGACGTAGAATTCCCAGTTGAGGGCGTACACTACTCCCAGCTCCGTGGCCCATGGAGTTTAAGCAGGAGGAGCCGACCCGGATCCTGTCCCGGACCCCAGTGACGGTTGGGACCCACCCGGATCCAAACCATGTTAGTGCCCGCCCGCTGCAGCTGGAAGCGGCCATGAATGGTCCAGAAAAGCTAACCTGTGGACCAGAGGTTAAAAAACTGCTGGCCCACAGCCAAACAGAGCTCTGTTTTACCTGCTCATGCTATACAATAATTTAAATACCGATATTTTTATCTTTTATTTGTATTATTTTAAATATTTTATTTGAGAGCAAGAGCGCACAAACCGGGGGAGGGGCATAGGGAGAGGGAGAAGCCGACTCCCCGCTGAGCAGCGATTCCCAGCCGCAGGCAGCCACTTAACAGACCCAGCCACCCAGGCGCCCATGGATATTTTTAAACGGACAGACTTAACATCAGAAATCCAAACTTCCGGTTTTTCAGAAAAATCTGGAGCTCCAACCACACTACGCCTACGTGGCCTTATAAAGGCCTTCCTCTGCTGAGCTAGCCTCCCCACTGGCCGCTAATTTATAGCACCTGCCCCGCCCCTCTAGCCATTTGAATTAATAACCCCTGTTACAGATCACGGGGTGGGAGGTGGAATCATTGGTTGGTTGCTCCTTTATATTGTCCAAGAATCTTCCCTTTTGAATGAGTGAACTTAAGATTAGTGCTGAGACATCTTTTCTGGATCACATATTTTTTATTAGCTTATTATTACTATGCTCATATATGTAGTACAGACATATAATACAACGAAAGTCCCCTGCCACTCCCCTCCCAAAGAGTATTCCCTTCCAGAGATTTATCTATAGCTATACAAACAAGGATATGTACCTTCCACTAGACCTCTAGGAAGGCTAGGGTTTTTGCCAGTTATTGTCACTTCTGAATCCCCAGCATCTGGAACCACACTTGGCACAAAGGAAGTGATTATTAAGTAATTAGTAAAAATATGAATATTTGTTCTAGAACCTGGAATTGGGTCATGAAGCATGAGTAGGAGTTTACCGGCAAGGGGAAAGGCATTCTCAGCAGAGGGAACAGGAGATGCAAAGGCCCAGAGGGATGCCTGAGAGCATATGGGATGAAAGCAGTTCGGAATGGCTGAGGAGAGATGGGGGAGAGTGTAGCTGAGGCCAGAACTTGAAGGGCCTTCAATTTCCAGCTAAGAAACGTGGCCTTTTTACAGAAAGCAATGGGATGGTTTTAAGCATGGGAGTGGCCAACATGGGTTTCTCTGGCTATGTTGAGGAGAAGAGATTGGAGGGGGGCTACCCTACCCAGGTGGGGAGACTGAATAGAATGTCATTATGGCCAGATGAGAGATAGCAAGGCCTGATCCAGGGAAGTCTCCAGAGGGAAGGGGGATGAGATCTCCCACAGGGAGACTAGATATCAGTAATTGATCCCCTGTGGAAAGCCAGGGAGAGAGAAGTTGAGAACAGCGTTCTGAGGGCTGGAGGGGAGAAAACTTGATAAGGACTAAGAGATGGGAAGTCCCAGGGTTGGCTGGGGTCCCTGGGGTAAAGATGTGATCAGAGCTGAAATTGGCATCCATAGTGGGGAGGTGAGGAGAGGAGAGGATGACCTTAGCAAGGGTCAGAGCCTGTAACAGGGTCTTTTTGGGGGGAAAGATGAACTGTTGGCACCTGGCCTGTGGGCAGCCCAGGTGCAGCTCCTGGCACCCAAGCATACATATTCACAACTTAGCAGTATCTAACTTGATGTATAACTTTGGGAACTCACTCCTCCCTGAGTCTCAGTTTCCTGATCTGTAAAATGGAAATAACACCACTCACAAAGAGGGTGTTAGGATCAAATGAAGTCATGTGGGGAGAAGACCCTGTAAACGGTGAAGCCCGCCATGAAACCTAGGCCCAGATCCATGGCACAGCAAATAGGCGGTCTCCGCTGACATCACGCACCCTAGAAACCCCTCCCAGGCACAATGCCATTGTCGTGCACCTTATTAAGACAATGCTCCAGGCCCAAAAGCAACCCCCAATACACATACCAAGTCTGACTGAATCCCTCTATCTGGGGGACCTGGAGCAAGGTGTCTGGGAAGAGGGGAGTCAGGGCCTGGTGAAGATGTATATTAAGTAGGGTAACACTAGCTGCTATCACAAATAGACTCAAATGTGTATAACGGTTCAAAGATTATTCCTCACTCATGTAACAGAGCAAAGCTAGTGTTCCTGGTTGATGGGTGGCTTCCCTTTGTGCCCTAATACAAAGACCCTGTCTCCTTCCTCCTGTGGCCCCACAATCCCTTAATCTCCTGCATCCAGCCAGCTAATGGTGAAAGAAACAATGTGGAGGGCACAAACTACATAAAAGTCTTGGCGCAGAAACGGCACCCGTCATTTCATTCACTTTTACTTGGTGGGACTAGTCACAAGGCCACACCTGACTGCAAGTGAGCCTGGGAAATTAAAGTTTAACCATGCACCCAGAGGAAGAGGACATGAACTCATGGTGAAGAGTCAGTCAGTTTCTGCCACCGAAAGGTTCAAGTCACAGCCGGGGAAGGGGACAGTAGGATAGAGGGTAGAAAACTGAAGAGGGACCCAAACCAGAGTGGTGGGTGACTTGAGGGCACTAAGCCCAAACGTAAGGTAAAACGCAAGTCCTTGTAGTAGGTGCGTGCCTGTATAAGAAAGAGGCCAACTGAGGACTCTGGCTAAGGGCCCCGAGTTCGGCTGGCCCGGGGCCGGGGCTGGAGGGCAGGGTGTCACTCTTCAGCTGATGGTACTACACCAAGGCAGGATTTTTGTGTGAGTGAGAATGAACAGCCAGGCATCACACACAGATGCCACCGATGCATTCCCCTGCCTGGGGGGTTGGGCACATGTCACCGGGGTGGCTGGGTGCTTACATGCCTATGTGCAGTTGCACCTGTCACAGGCCCCTGTCCAGGGGACTAGATATACACACCCAGGGGTTTCTTATGAAGGGCGAGCCTATGTGTTTATAACATGCAGACGTGAATGGTTTGGGTGTGCATGACCATGCATGCAAGGTGTCCATCTGTCTGTACGCTTGGACACATGCCTGGGCAGTGTCTGGGGATGAAGGTAGTCACTCTGCATGTGCACAGCTGCCTGGGGGGTGGGTACTGAGTATGCACCTGTGCAGCACAAACACAGCAGGTGTGAGATAAGCGTGTGCTGAGTAAAGTACCCGTGTGCATACTCGGTGCGCATGTCCGTGTGTTTGTGCGAGCCCCCGCCAGGGTGCAAAAAGGTGACTAAGTGTGTGAGCGCACACTTCTGTGTGCCCGGACGTGATCTTGGAGCTCCCTGGGCTGGGCCAGACCAGGCTCGGCTCCTTCCTGGGCGCACAGAGGCCTCTGCAATGTGCTGGTGACAGTGTGGGGCACTGCCAAGGGTGGACTGGTGGCATGTGTGTGTGCCTGTGAATGTGCGTGTGTGTGCATGTGCGTGTGCGTGTGCGTGTGTGTGTGTGTAGGAAGAGGCATTCGCTCTCTTAGACCTTGCTTCTTTCTGTGGTTCGGTTTCTATAGAGACACTTCCTGTGGCAGAGAAAAGAGGTAGTGAGCTGGTGTTTCAGGATGTGAGGGCCCGCAGGAGCAGAGCCGGGCTCTCTCTGTTGCCTGCCTGCTGCTGTGCAAGCTCTGGCCAGGGCTGCCCGCGGTCCCCATGGTGGGCGCTCCTCGCAGCAGGGACCCGTGAACAGCGGCGGCATGCCGGGGAAGCCCAAGCACCTGGGTGTCCCCAACGGGCGCATGGTGAGTGCGGGCTCCAGGCCAGGCCCATGGGGAAGGGGTGGGCACACCCAGGGTGGAGCCCAGGAGGCACAGCCGGCAGGGCTGGGCAAGAGCGTGCATGCTGCCGGCCAGCGGGAGAAGTTGGGTACGAACAGGAGCAGGCAGTGGGACCTGGGACTCTTGTCCTAGGACCTTCTAGATGGCCTGGCTGGGGACCTGGGCCAGCCTCAGAGAGGAGAGCAGAGTACAGTGGGCATAGGCTTCTGGTCCCCACTGCTTCCTCTCCTGCCACTTTGGCCCCATCCAGGGCTCCCCGCATCCTAGGGCAGCAGGGAGACCTGGCATGCCCTTTGACCCCTGCCTACCCCCACAGTGGCCCAGGCCTCCACATCTGACTTAGCCTCAGCCTTCCCCCCGCCTCACCCCACGTCCTGATGCATAAGGTCAGGTAAGGGGTAACCCTCAGTGGGTCACTGCCCTTCAGCTGGACCTGCTCAGAGGCTTCCTGCCAGAACAAGTAGTCCTTGGGCAGCCTGGGATGGGTCAGCAGGGTCAGGCCAGCTTGGTGCAGCTTGTCTTTTCTATTCCTGGGCCACCAGGAAGGGTGGGAGTAGCTGGGTGCTCAGATGCCCTGGCTCCTGCTGCTGCCACACCCTCTAAACCCTCTCCCTGGCTACTTCACCTTTATTTTTTTTTTAAGATTTTATTTATTTATTTATTAGAGAGCGAGCGAGAGAGAAACAGCATGAGAGGGGAGAGGGTCAGAGGGAGAAGCAGGCTCCCCGCTGAGCTGGGAGCCCGATGCGGGACTCGATCCAGGGACTCCGGGATCATGACCTGAGCCGAA